TACGCTGATGCTGACTTCGCCAATCGTGTTGACGATTGCAAGTCTGTAGCAGGCTACATAACGAAGTTTTGCGGTAGTACAATATCATGGGTCAGCCAAACTGAAAAGACAGTCGCACTTCATACCACTGAAGCAGAGTATATGGCATTGAGCCTATTGGTGCAAGAAGTGGTTCACCTTCGACAAATGCTCAAGGAACTGAAAGTGCAGCAGCGCAATCCCTCTCAAATATATGTTGACAACGAGAGTGCCAAGAAGCTGGCAAAGAACCCCCAGTTTCACAGCAGATCGAAACATATCGACGTTCGTCATCATTTCGTTCGTGAACGCATCGAGCTCAAGCAGATTGACGTAGAGCGTGTGGCCAGCACCGATAAATATTGCAGATGCCTTCACAAAACCGCTTACTCGACCCAGCGTTCGAGAAGCACAGAGCAGCGATGGGATTGATGACACGCAAAGAATTTGAAGAAAGAGCGCCTAACAATGTCAACCAGTAGGTGGGGCTGTTGCGATGTACTGGTTCACAAGTTGAGGCTCTCTAGGGAGGTTAGCTTTTGGTCCCGAATGGGTTTTGTGCCACCGGCTTTTGTCCCAAATGGGTTTTTGCTAACATGTGTGAGAAAGGTGAGAGAAGGAGAGACAGGTAATGTAGCAACACAGAAAGTTAATCATTCTGGAATATACGCTCTGCTGAGCAGCCTTCCTCACTACACTAACGCTCGTAGGCTTCGTTCTATCTGTCACCTAACAGTGACATAGCTACTCGCTCTGCGCTAAATACTTGCGTACTGCAAGGAAAACAATTTACCGAAGTTGTTGAACATTCTCAACCACCCAGAAATCGAGCTATTGCCAGTCGAAACATTACCGTGGTATTCAACATCTTTCCAATTGGAGTATGGGCCCCGTGCAACCAAAGTTCGAGTCCGATTTTTTAGGAGCCGGGTGAGATGCTCTGGTAGCACTCCCCCCTCACGAGCTGTGCACTGTAATCGACTGACTCGACGACGAAGAGAACGTCAAGCTTTATCTGAAGCCATGTCTCCCACTGAAAATGTATCATGGTCCGTGGTGCATTGGTCGCCTGTCGATTCAAACACATTCACACCATAATCCCTCAAAGACGGCTACATTCTGTTGCTTTCGGGGCTGGGATAACTGTAAAAATCACACCCACGCTTTTAGCTGTAATTTCGAGACGGCTTAACTATATTGATACATTTTTTTGTCACAACGACTTCAGAAAGAAAATGTTGTCCCTTTCTGAAGTCACTGTGACAAAAAAACAGTGACTTCAAAAAGTTGTCAGCATAGTTACGGCGTCCCGCTGTGGCTGGGCGGGGATCGGTGGGGTATCTTACCCGTGCGCAGGGGGACGCCGTAACTACTCCACCATGTTGACAACTTTTTGGCAATTATTCGCAAGTGCGAAGAATACAAGACAGCTGTGATCGTTTGTACTCTATCTCTACACATCACCCAGAAAAACCAACTTGTGAGCGGCACGCTCGGGCTTCAACTGACCACAGTCGTTAAAGTTCGACAAGCTGAAATATAACTATCGAGTCCAAGACAATGTGATTGGTGTGGTGTGCTGGCACTGTTGAGCGCATTTATCTGGCGTCGCAGTTTGCAGGTTTACGACTTCAAACAACTGCAACCATTTGCAGTTTTCCATTTCAATCGGCTTTGTCTGTGTCGTAGTGAAATACCCAGAACAAATACGTATCAGTTTTAAAGCCTGCCATCACTAGTGCTGCTTTTAAGTCAATTTGCTATCCCAGTACGGATGGGAGGCCGGTAAAAACGGTGTAAAATTCAATATTTTAAACTACCACGGTGTGTCCTCAAATACGTTCTGGAGTGCCCAGTTCTAGCTACTCTTTAAGAGCAGTTTTCTATCTAGCTCAAACTGCGAAATACTCATGGCTGAAATAGCTACTGTATCGATGTAAAGAGAGAGCGTGTCTTACCCCGCAGCAGCGGGCCTGGGCGCCGGCCTCATATCGCAAGTAAGCGAATTGCAGCTTTTAAAATTATTTTTTTGGTAAGGATCCGGATTAATCCTTAGCGTGGAGAAGCAGCTTTGTCTAGTAAGGAGAGAAACTCCGGGCTCTCTTCGGCGCTGTTAGTCCCACAGATATGTTTGTTATTGTCAAAGTCTACTTTTGTAGACCCTGCGTGTCTTTTTGGAACATGTGTGCTGCTGTCCATACACGCAGGGGTTAATGGTAACTCCAAAATCGGTGAAGTTAATATTGTGAAAATATCACCTGTAGACCAGTTAATATAAAAATATCACCTAATATTTTCTTTTGAGACAATATGATATTATTAAATATCAACTTAATATTAGTTAATACGATATTATATTTTTCAATGATTGCGTAATCGGGCTATATTAACTAATCAGATGTCGTTAACGCTCGACTAGCTGAAGTATTACTAATCAACCGTGAGTACCGGGACAATTGTGAGTGACGGCAAGGTTGGCGTTGTGTGTTGGCACTGCTGAGCGCATTAATCTAGCGCCACAGGCAGCAGGTTTATTAGACGCACGATGTCGACGAGGAGATCGGAAGAGAACAAGAACAAATGTCTTGATTTCGCTCTATCAACGTTAAACAGCTGCAAGCGTTTGCAGTTTTCCATCTCGATCGCCTTTGTCTGTGTCACAGTGAAATACTAGAGCAAATACTCGTCAGTCTTAAAGCCTACTGCTTTTCTAGAACCTGATCGAAAAAGTTATTTGGCTCCGCTCGGTTCACAGAGGTAAGCTGGCAAGAAACGTACTTAAGTGGGAAAATATCATAAAATATCATGTAGTATCTAATATTTTTCAGTTCTCCGAGCTAATATAAAAATATTATGTTAGCTTTTGCAAAAATGAGTTACTATTAATATTTAATATCGAAAATAGTACTATTACTATCAAAAATATCATATGATATTTGGTTACCATTAGCCCCTGCATACACGTCCTCCCAGGATAAACACTTCATCCTTCTAATAATCACTGCTTTTTGATTACCAGCACGACAGATCGGGACGAAATTTAGTGACTAAACAAGATCAAGGAGTGGACACGATAGAGTGTAGACGTCCTAGAAATTCTAGTTAACAATAGTCACTTTTCAATTTGTTGCCGAACAACACAAACGCTTCCTCAGTCTATTACACTTGACTACCCAGAAACCCGAGAATCAGCCATGCGTGTCTACTTTATCCTCATCCTGGCTGTTGCCACTGTGTCGGGGCGCCACCTCCGAGATGCTGTCGTTCCAGAATGCCATTCAATCCTCAGGTGGTGCCAAAATAGAGACAAGCGCTAGGAGACTTCTCCGAGCAGAGTTGACGACAGATGAGACGTACCCGGAAGAGAGGACCTTTTGGGCCGCTGTCAAAAAGCTAAATGCGAAGACAAAAGATGTACTAAAAGACAAGTGGGATGCGGCATACGTGAAGTATCAGTCCGCTTTCATCTATAATGACGGCATTGGGCAATCAATAATGAAGAGAAATATCGACCCTGACCAGGTGTACAGATACCTGACGCTGCAAAAGCTTGATAATCGAGTTAGTTGGACGATCGGAGAGACTCCTCGGTATAGACTATGGAAGGCCTATTTGGAACTGTGGAAGAAAAACCATCCCAGATGGAAAAGCAAGCTGCAGACGGTGGACTAACCGAGATCTCTATCATTTCATTCGCATCGAATGCAGTGCTTCATTTAAATCCTACGCTGCGGATAATAGAGATGTCAAACTTTTCAAACCAACGAAATACTACCTCAGCTCGGAAAAAGATAACCATTTCAAACTACTACCTCCGCTCGGAAAAAGATAACCATTTGTTTTTTTTTGCGCAGCGCTCCGCCTCGTTCATTTGAGCGTTTACTAATTTGTGAGAGGCTGGCTAGCTACAGCTGTAGCTTTATGACCGAGAGCTGACAGTGAGAAACTAAGCAAGGCACAGGCGTTCATGCTCCGCCGTGCAACTACAGATACAAAAACGGATCTAAGACGGCAACTACATCGCCACATTCTGAAGGGGCGCTCAGTGGGGCTTCTGGAACTTCAGCGGTAGGCGGTGGGGGGCTGCTCGCTGCAAGAAACAGCATGTACGCGTTAGCATTGGCGAGTGAGATAGCGTCACAAGGCAGTGACGTAGGGAGAGTGCCAGCTCGTACTTGCTTGTCCTTGTGCCGGAGGCGCGCCAACTCATGCGTGGGTGTAAGTAGTGGGCGGGTCTGTCTGAGCGCACGCCGTATGTAGCCTTCCTTGATCAGCTGCTGAACCAGGTAGCAGCTCATGTTGGACGCGCGCTGAAGCAGACGCTGGTTTTCGCGCTCATTGACAGGGACTGCAGCGATTCTCTCGCACAGCTCAGCTCGATCCACCTTCTTCCTACCACATGCGCTCTTCCTTGACTTGACCACGGCTGCTACTCGATCTCCGATCGAATTGATTCCACGCCTCCAAATTCGCTCGACAACTTGGCGGTCCAAGCTGCAACCCGAACGATCTCTCCATGTTTGAGCACTCCTCCCACGCTGCGAAGCAGTAAGGTCTCCCAGACGGCCTGGCGCTCACTGTCTGTGATCTCCCCCAGGTGCCAGCTTTCAAAATGAAAGGTGGGAGCGGGAGCCAGTCTGGTCGGGAAAGCGCGGGAAATTCGAAATCCAAAATGTGATCGGCATAGAGGGGGTATTGTTTTGGGTAGGCTGTAATATAATTTGAAATGGTTATCTTTTTCAGAACGGAGGTATTAATAGTATATTACAGCCTACCCAACAAAGTACCCTCTCTATGCCGATCTTTTTGTACCTCTACACATCACCCAGAAAAACCAAGCACGCTCGGGCTTCAATTGACCACAAAATGTAGTCTCTTCTAGCGGAAAATTGAATTGTGTTTTTTACTCGTAAACATACAAACATTCACGTTAGATGATGCATCTAACTAAAGTGCTTCATCAAAAGCTGATCTCGAATTTCTCAGGAGAAGCGTACGCGATTTCCAGTAGACGGCTTGCTAGGCTTGAACTTTTTCACCTTTGGGGATGTACGCTTGAACTCGTTCAGGTACTCTACCAGAAGCTTTTTATAGTGCGGGTTACGCTTGAAAACCATATTTTCTCGGATCTTACCGATGCTCTGGTGGTGGTTGTCCCAATTCTTAAACATTTTCATTTTGAACGCTTCGTCATTCATCATCCTGGATAGTTTCTCCATTTTGAGGTCATTCCTCCCAAGAATTTTGTTGAAAAGTCCTTGGCCAGCTCTCTCTTCATCAGCAGCAACATTCATTGCGCTGTCGACGTTGTATTTCTGGTTGCCGCGCAGAAGTCTCTTATCGTTACCACCTTGAGCCAAGCCCGCGACCGAGTAGCCAGCAGTCATCGAAGCGCTACAGGGACGAAGCAAAGCCGCGACAGTGAGCAACATGTAGACTAGATGCATTGCGCAGTAAGGCCACGCAATGCGTACAAGGCCTTTTTCCTTCAATGGCGAATTGTGAACTGGCAGTAGCATTATCCATATCCCTGGTCGCTTCGTATGGATTTCCACACAACGTTAAATTGTAAAGTTGGTATACAGTAGCTATTGCGATTTGGCTTACGTGCGGCAAGCAGCCAGTGACTGACAAAGAGAGAGATCGTGTTCAATGATCAATTATCACGATTACTTATTTAATTGCATACTTAAGCAAATACCCGTAGCCGAGCGTCGGAGCCTGTCCAGGCTAGACAGCCTTCGACACTGGACTCCAGCAGCGCCTAAACAGGGGTTCATGGTAACTCCAAAATCGGTGAAGTTAATATAGTGAAACTTTCACTTGGTAGACGATTTCATTTTAAAAAAATTACCTAATATTTTCTCCATTGACCTTTTTTTTTTTACTATATATCAACTTATTAATAGTATTTGTTAATACTGTAAGAATCTACCAATCATTTGTCGTTAAAGTTCGACAAGCTGAAATATAACTATCGAGTCCAAGACAATGTGATTGGTATGGATGAATAACATTATCTCTCCGACGTATCTTACTTTTAGTATGTTGCGCACTAGCCAATGATGATCGTTTCTTATTCTTTAAAAGCGATCTCCGTTGCATTGGGCGAATCAAATTGCTTCAAGAATACAATTATATCCAATTAAAACTATAGTTTAGGGTGCAGTCGGAATTCCGACGTATCTAGTCGGAGTTGACGACCAGATATGTGTATAGTAATACTTGCTAAAGGTTTTTGCCACGTATCACCTGCATATTTCTACCTCTCCGACCAAGAACAATGAGTCTGAACGACTTGAAGCCCGCCAACACAAAGCGCGCGCGTGCGACGGCTTTAAAAGCGTTTGAGCGCTTCCTGTCTTTAGAGAATACTACCATGGAGCACGTCGTGGCTTTGATCGTCGCAGACTCTAGTCGCGCGAGTAGTATACTAGTGACTCTAATGGACAAGTTTGGTGTGTACCTGACATTCCACGCAGGAGCAAAGGGGCAGCCTCTGTCGCGCCACTCCGTCGCTCAATACTTCCGCCAGGTGAAATGCTGGCTTTTGGATGAGTATCCTGTTCAAGGTGGCGCTGTAGCACGACAGCTGCTCAGCATGGGGCGTACCCTTGAACAGCACTGCATCAAGCGTGAAAGTGGTGGGTTCGTCAAGAAGGCTATTGCGTGCACAAAAGAGGATCTCAAAAAGATGATACGCTACTTATATTCAACGGCTCGCTGTGCGTCGGACTACCAAGATGCTGCGTTGTTGTGCCTCCTGTGGTACCTCTTCGGCCGTGCATCAGACATTACGTTCGTCCGGAAGCAGCAGCTCTCCGTCGGAGCTGGAGGGGTTTTCTTTATCCGATTCATCCGCGTGAAGACGTCCGATGAGCAGTCACTGTCACTTTTTCCTGACGCTGACTTCATGACTTGTCCGCTGCTAGCGCTCGCGCTGGCCTTGAATACGCAGGAGTCTCCGTGCGCAGCGTTGCTAAACCATTTGCCGGTGAAGTCGAAGGACGTTCCTGTTGACCTAGCTGCCTCGATACCATTACTGGAACTTCTTGACGACAATAGTGCCCTGAATTCTTCTCAGACGTCGCCAGGTAGCACCACTGTTCACGCGACACCAACAGTTGGAATCCACGCTCTTGTCAACCGCGTGCTCGATCGCGTTGCTGGTCCTGCTGGAGTCGAAGTGTCGCTGACGTCACATTCGTTTCGCCGTGGCGGCGCGCAACACGCGAACGCAAACTCAGAGCTGGCAGCTCAATGGATCTTTGATCGCGGAGCTTGGAACTTAACTACGACTAACAAAGCCTTTGCGTACGTCTTCAACACCCCTAAAGAAGATCATCAAGTTGCTAAGGTGCTGAGTGGGATGACGCCAAAGCAAGCCTCTTCTCTCCCGTCCCTGGATTCCTTCGACGCTGCAACACTAGAAAAGGTTAGAGAGGTTAGCCGGAAGCTTTTCAACTCGAGCCATGATCTGGGTAACAAGGCCTTTAACGTCTGCGCTGTTGTGAGAGATGTGCTAACAGCAACCCTCCTCCTCCACTACCCGTCGTTAGTGAAGATCAACGCGAAGACACCTGCAATGAAGACAATTCACCTATGTGCGGAAGCCTCTGGAGTGACGACGACCAACCTGCTTGCATGGTCACAACGGCTCACAGCGTCAAATGAACACGCCAACACCACCGCCGAAGCCATGACTGAAGAAAATGTAAAGGCCAACGCTGCGTTGAATTATCAAACTGCCTTGATTGAAAGGTTAATTGAGGTCAACCGTAGCCTTGAAGCTCGAGTTAACTCGCTAGAAGCTGCAATGAACAACACCGAAGGGGAAACTTTAGCACGAGATAATCAAGCCAAGCGAGTAAGAGACGAAGATGAAATCGTACCAGTAAAGCGTCGCCGTCGATCCAAGACAATACCGCTTGTTGACACGTGGTTTGCGTGGTACACGGCTGTTCCGCGTGGATGGCAGAGTACTAATAAGCACAAGAAATCGATTTCCAAGCAGCTCGTGGCCTTCATGAGGCTCTTCATCGAAGACGGGTACGCGCTCGACGAGTTATCATCCAGCTACAAAGATACAGTACGTCAGCTCGGAGAGTTAGCGTCAAACAAAGTCACAGTGTTCCTAGGCGAGCAGGGCGTACCGTCAAAGGGATCCAACGCTGTGCTTAAGGTTCTTCGGCAGATGCACCGCGAAGGCAAGCTGAATAGTCTCATCAGTGCCTACCATCAGCGTTTTACCATCGGCAGAGTTGTAGACCCTACACCAACACAGCACCAAAGCATGCTCAAGCTGCTCCCGTAACACAATCCAATCTCTCTGTGTCCTTGTAGCTGGTTCTTATATCATGTCAATCATGTAGAGACCTGCAAGGCATTCGAGCATAATTTTTTTACCAATGGGTGAATTTGAACCACCTCCTTCCCTTTCGGGAGCTCTACCATTGAGCTACATCGGTGGGGGTTAGACAACAACAGCACAGGGATACTCATCTGGGTGCTCGACGGGGACTTAACGGTGATCCACTGTTCTTTGTGGCCGCGACATACCCTCTTAGGTGTACCGATGCGCGGTACGCCCCCCTCAATTCACCGTTCCAGGTGGTCAATCGAGCACTGAGCTTGCAGGGCAAAATGGCGCAGTCAATATTGCACCGGCGCCACTCGTTTACGAGGAGTAATTACGCTCAATGAACCAATTATAAAGTTTTGCGATACGTCGGATCGGAGTCGGAAGGTGCTTGGCTGGTCGGAGTCGTTATGATATGGTGTGCTGGCACTGTTGAGCGCATTTATCTAGCGTCGCAGTTTGCAGGTTTACGACTTCAAACAACTGCAACCATTTGCAGTTTTCCATTTCAATCGGCTTTGTCTGTGTCGCAGTGAAATACCAGAACAAATACGTATCAGTTTTAAAGCCTGCCATCACTAGTGGCTTTTAAGTACGGATGGGAGGCCGGTAAAAACGGTGTAAAATTCAATATTTTAAACTACCACGGTGTGTCCTCAAATACGTTCTGGAGTGCCCAGTTCTAGCTACTCTTTAAGAGCAGTTTGAAATACTCATGGCTGAAATAGGTACTGTATCGAGACATAGAGAGAGCGTGTCTCGGCGGGCTTACCCGCAGCAGCGGGCCTGGCCGCCGGCCTCATATCACAAGTAAGCGAATTGCAGCTTTTAAAATTATTTTTTGGTAAGGATCCAGATTAATCCTTAGCGTGGAGAAGCAGCTTTCTCTAGTAAGGAGAGAAACTCCGGGCTCTCTTCGGCGCTGTTAGTCCCACAGAGATGTTTGTTATTGTCAAAGTCTACTTTTGTAGATCCTGCGTGTCTTTTTGGAACATGTGTGCGGCTTCATCATTCTATAATCACTGCTTTTTGATTACCAGCACGACAGATCGGGACGAAATTTAGTGACTAAACAAGATCAAGGAGTGGACACGATAGAGTGTAGACGTCCTAGAAATTCTAGCTAACAATAGTCACTTTTCAATTTGTTGCCGAACAACACAAACGCTTCCTCAGTCTATTACACTTGACTACCCAGAAACTCGAGAATCAGCCATGCGTGTCTACTTTATCCTCATCCTGGCTGTTGCCACTGTGTCGGGCGCCACCTCCGAGATGCTGTCGTTCCAGAATGCCATTCAATCCTCAGGTGGTGCCAAAATAGAGACAAGCGCTGGGAGACTTCTCCGAGCAGAGTTGACGACAGATGAGACGTACCCGGAAGAGAGGACCTCTTTGGCCGCTGTCGAAAAGCTAAATGCGAAGACAAAAGATGTACTAAAAGACAAGTGGGATGCGGCAAACGTGAAGTATCAGTCCCCTTTCATCTATAATGACGGCATTGGGCAATCAATAATGAAGAGAAATATCGATCCTGACAAGGTGTTCAAATACCTGACGCAGCAAAAGCTTGATCGGACGATCGGAGAGAATCCTCAGTATGGACTATGGAAGGCCTATTTGGAACTGTGGAAGAAAAACCATCCCAGATGGAAAAGCAAGCTGCAGACGGTGGACTAACCGAGATCTCTATCATTTCATTCGCATCGAATGCAGTGCTTCATTTAAATCCTACGCTGCGGATAATAGAGATGTCAAACTTTTCAAACCAACGAAATACTACCTCCGCTCGGAAAAAGATAACCATTTCAAACTACTACCTCCGCTCGGAAAAAGATAACTTTTTTTTTTAGTTTTTGCGCAGCGCTCCGCCTCGTTCATTTGAGCGTTTATTAATTTGTGAGAGGCTGACTAGCTAGCTTAATGACCGAGAGCTGACAGTGAGAAACTAAGCAAGGCACAGGCGTTCATGCTCCGCCGTGCAACTACAGATACAAAAACGGATCTAAGACGGCAACTACATCGCCACATTCTGAAGGGGCGCTCAGTGGGCCTTCTGGAACTTCAGCGGTAGGCGGTGGGGGGCTGCTCGCTGCAAGAAACAGCATGTACGCGTTAGCATTGGCGAGTGAGATAGCGTCACAAGGCAGTGACGTAGGGAGAGTGCCAGCTCGTACTTGCTTGTCCTTGTGCCGGAGGCGCGCCAACTCATGCGTGGGTGTAAGTAGTGGGCGGGTCTGTCTGAGCGCACGCGGTATGTAGCCTTCCTTGATCAGCTGCTGAACCAGGTAGCAGCTCATGTTGGACGCGCGCTGAAGCAGACGCTGGTTTTCGCGCTCATTGACAGGGACTGCAGCGATTCTCTCGCACAGCTCAGCTCGATCCACCTTCTTCCTACCACATGCGCTCTTCCTTGACTTGACCACGGCTGCTACTCGATCTCCGATCGAATTGATTCCACGCCTCCAAATTCGCTCGACAACTTGGCGGTCCACACGGAAGTACGCTGCAACCCGAACGATCTCTCCATGTTGGAGCACTCCTCCCACGCTGCGAAGCAGTAAGGTCTCCCAGACGGCAATGAAAGGTGGGTGGGGGAGCCAGTCTGGTCGGGAAAGATCGGAAAATTCGAAATCCAAAATGTGATCGGCATAGAGAGGGTATTTTGTTTTGGGTAGGCTGTAATATAATTTGAAATGGTTATCTTTTTCAGAACGGAGGTAGTACTTAAGTACTTCGAAGCCGGTTTATGAACTTTGCAAATTTGCCTGGAATCCCTGATATTTCATAATGGCACTTGATTCTAAAGTGAGCTCGGTACAGCATTCAATTTGCGTAATTATGTGCTCTTTTCATTGAAAGAACCGCTGGGAGCTCCCAAATTGCAATGCGGCAAATATTTTGAAGTCCGTAAAAAAATGTCTTCTGTCACTGCATATTTCAGTAAAAAAAAAAATACAAAACAAGCTAAGCCCTCACAAAAACATGCATCTTCCTCGCAATGCCTTACAAACCAGCTGCAAAAATAAATAAGCCGTCATTGGCACGCCTCCATGTTCCAAACAACGATGTCTCGAAGTATTCCATCTGTGTTTTTTTTTACCATTCTCGCAATATATCTCTACAGATAATTGCTATTTCGCTCAATAGGACGAATGGGTTTCTTCTAACAAGATCTGAGCTACTTCAGTCAGTGAGTTGGCTTCGTGAATCGCTTGCACTACAGCGGCCAAAGTTTGTTCACTGGCACGGGGTCCAGACGTCTTCGCTTCTCCTAATTGATGTTTTATCAGCTCCAAGTTGTCCGCGATTCGTTGTCCTTCATCCAGCAGCCTCGACAGCTCGAACAAGCTCTCGTCCCGCGACGTGAAGTTGCGTGCCATCTGCCTCTGTACTCGCTGTAGAGCTGCTTGTGCACTGGCAAGTTCATTTAGTAATTCTCTAAGATCTTCTTCCTTCTCTTGCACCACATGCTGCTGTTCTTGCAGCAGTGCCATAGCCTTGATCACCTTCTTATTGGTCGATAATGTCTGCAGTACTGTATCATCTTTTGGAGTCTTCCCCTTGACTACCAGTCTCAATGCCTGAGCAGAACTGAGTCCCAGCACTGCGCTAACCTTCTTTTTAACCTCTAGAATAGTCCCAGACCGTGGGAAAATGAGGTCGTAGCGAGCTTTACCCCTGAAAAGCTGCACCAGTAGAGCGTCATCTTCCAGTTCGCTCACGTCGATTCCGGGAGCTTTAAAAGGCACTTTGACTTCCGATTTTAGCGCTGAAGGAGGAGATTCTACTGATAGAGCGTGTGTACTAGTTTAGGCTTGTTTTGAAGTAGTAGCTTGCTCGTGATACGCTCGATTACGCAGCAATAGCAGTTTGCAGCCCTCAGTGAAGGTTGTTCCGCTCTTGACGTCGCGCCCACGCAACACTAAGCGCTGAAATTCGGGTGCCAGTTGGAAATTCTCATAGATATGTGTCTTGAGCAGTTCGAGTGCCTGTGGGTTTTGTGTAGGGACGCTCAAGGACGTCGACTGCTTGCCGAAGACGACGGTCACGACCACCTCCGCTTTGTCCGCCATGATCGCTTTTGCCAAAGTGGGACTTGTGTGGTAGACATAAATCGACTCACTTGATAGATCTGTGACTTGTGACGGATTGGATCGACCATATTCTCACTTAGTTGATCCCGTCTCGCCATTTAGAAATTGACACCGCGGCTATGAGTGGCATGACTTTTACAATGACGGAGAAGTATGTGGCTGCGATATTCACGCACGCTCTATTTGGGTTCATGTCCGTTCATTTCGTGCTGGTTGCGCTGTGGCTGGTGGTTGTCCAACATGCTCGAGCCCCGTTGTTCGGGCAATGGGATGAGGTTTCCGGAGTAAAATTGGTGGTATGGGCCGTGTTGTTGACTCTCTGTGGTGTGAGTGGATTGTTGTCGCTGACTATGAAGAGCAAAAGGGCTTTCAAACTGTCTCTAGGATGTTGGTGGCTGCTTTCCACATTTCACGCTTGTTGTTTGATGGCAATACTGTCCTGTGGGCTGTCGGTCGGTGTCATTAGAAACGAAATTCAAGAAACATGGACGACGTGTGAGATGGCTGTGCAGCTTCTAGCTGATGTTATCGGCTTGGCTTTCCTCACTTTGCTCTTGGACGACAACGGTCAAATTGATATCGGCACCGACGATTTCATTCGAGAACCTCTCCTGTCGAATGTATAGGTATATAGATGTATTGGTACCTTTGGGGCGGATTATATTAACATGCAGATAATTATACTGGGAGGACAGCTTTATCTGGCTGGGCAGCCTAACCAATTTTATTTAACTGGTGATGTGGGGCCCTCAGGGTTTAATTGCGCGATTTTTACCTGAGTCGATAATCCAGTTTTAGTACGCAGCTCCAGTTCTGATAGAGAAGCAGTATCAACGGGTTAATATAGTCCTCATGCATCGATCGCTTTGTGTCTCGGCAATTAAATGTCCATTTGTCCAGCTTCTGTTATCATTGATTGCTGTTCTCACAATGAGGTTCCTTTCGTTTGTACAGTAACTCAACGTGACAACAGCAGTAACCGAGCTTGAGTGTTAAGGTCTTACGCTTCTCACGCCTTCACATTCACACGATAGTTCTGAGGGATCTACCGTCGGACAGTGGGAGGACACTCGATTTTTGTACGAACATTAAAAACACACACACACACACAAATCAACTGTCCTTCACGTATTATTATCCTGGGACAGTCTGATGGTAATTATGATAAACTGCTCCTTTCCGATTGTAATTTCACGGAGGCAGCAACAAAGCGCTACTATCCAATAATATACGTGTACCAGCAAATGTAGCAAATGTGGCGTTACCGACAATGACACATTTACCTATTATCAATGATGAATCATCGCTGTACAGTAATATACAGCGTAGTAGTGTAGTACAAAAGTAAAAAAAAAATTGGCACGTTGGGCTGGGAGGGAAAGAACCCAGAGCTTTGATAAAACAAAACAATTTTGATAAAACTATCATAAGAGACGGCGAGTCGTACGAAGACTCTCGATCTTGGGCGCGGATGGGTGTGCACAATTCGGGTCTCAAGACGTTTTTTTTTAAAGATTTTGATGTATCGACAAAAGTTCTAAGACCAACTTGTGAAGATCGATTGGACAAGTCGTATAGAATGCAGGATGCACTTGACCATGACTATTCTTGGAATGTGGCTGTATTAAGATGGCCAGGTTTCGAGATGAAAGTGTGAGGCTGATTGTCAGGATTCATGGGAGCCGTGTGGGGCTTTTCTTTAGTATTCTTATTTTAATTTTAAGCCAATACATTATCGTCGTTTTTGGCCATTCGTACAAAGCGCATTAGCTAGTTTTGGCGAAGTCTGCAAAATGTAAATGACGAGTGCGATTAATTTTCAACATACAATTTGTGTAGTAGCAGGGCTATAAAGACATTATTTCCACGATGGACCAGCGCAATAGTGCAGCGTTTGCTGAGCATTATCGACAACAACACAGCTGCACTGCGTTTCGGACTTAAACCTTGTTCGTGCTTGAATGGTATCTATTCGAGATCATTGCATTGAGTTCTAGCGGCTTAGTCGGCTAAGGCAGCAGTGGTGCCAAATACAGCAGATTCGTTAATCGGACATTTGTACAATGTACATGTAGTGTCCTCATGACAGTACATTGCACACGCTGACGTGGAAACACACCGAAATATCATCGATGAGGCGAGAGAAGTGCCCTCGCCCGTGAGGCAACGCTGTGAAAGAAAACACTATCGCAATTTAAAGTGAAAAGGGGTTTTTAATTAGCATCGATGGAACTTGGGTGGCCTAATCAAGAAGGCAGTCAAAATTGGCATACAGTGTCTTCAACTTCCCCATCGTTGTTGTTTCTAAGCACACGAGGACATCCAGTCCATCTCCTCCTTCAAGTGCCTCCGTGATGGGGACGAACCCGTCCATGCATTGAACACGAGGGATCTTAGCGTACCGGGGCTTGACGCCATCAAACTCGGCATCATACAACCCCATCTTTGCCCAGCATGTGAATGCGATGTCAGGACCGAAGAAGAAGTGGACGTTGTCATTGATAGTGACTGGGTCGCTCTGGCTGGATATGAACGCGATAGTGTCACGCATGAATGCGTTATCACGCTCCAGAATCGAAGCTCGAACGCCACGGGCAACACGAGGCAGCAGCACTGCGTTGATAGCAGCCTGAAGCATTTCGTTCGTATACGTCGATATCGCGTGGAAGACAGCGTTTCCAGAAAGGTTCTCGGGTAAAGGCGGTTGCAGTCGGTTCCGTCCGTGCACTGCTGTTGACACGCGTACAGATCTTCCATGGCCACGAGCTTGAGAGATGAGAACGGTGAACAACGCCGTGATAGCGTCAAGTGTGCTAACGTACGGAGGTGATTGAGCTTGAGCAATCTTCTTGTCTTTCGAGCTAAAAATCGACAGGAGTTTGGCCAAAAATCGCTCTCTTTTACATCGTATGTGTCGGGTCTTCTCGGTTTCCACCCCTTCCGCTAATTTCTTGAGTTTTGCCGTACTCGACGAAGAAAAGTGGAACACGTGCTGGTCCATTTTTGGTGGTGTCGTCACTGTCTTTGGAGCTAAGGACCCATCCTTTTTTTTTTTTTTGGTAAGGTGTATTGTGTTACCAGCTTGCTGCCTGAACTCTAATAACCATTCCCGACTAGCTTGTGTTGCACCGTCGAGTTGTCCTTGCTCCTCTCCTTCTGTGCTACTTCTTCCTTTTGTCTTCCGAGTTTGCTATCTGGTGCCTGGATCACGTTCGCTGCTCACTCCTTTCCTCCATTGGTTGACGTCCCCTTGTATCCACATCTCCGCCAATGTTCTCAGCTCGTGCTCCATCCCCTCCGCCTCCGCCGTGAACATCACGCTCTTACCTGTGTCCATGACGAAGTTTGCCAACCCGTCTGCTGTCTTGTTGTGCTGGCGGTAGTGGTGCCGCCACACTTGGACCTGCCCCTGATCCGCCAGCTTCCTCGCTAGTCTGAACCAGTGCTGCAACTTTCGCGCTTTTGGTACCTTTCGCCGACGCATGAGTCCCAGGATCATGGCGCTGTCGCCCACGACCTGCATCCCTCTCCATCTCCTAGCCACTGCCTCCGCGAGTAGCCTTTGCAGTCCCACAAATTCAGCCACATTGTTGGTGGTTCGTTTGTTGCTCAGGCTCGTTGCCGCAGCCCACAGTATCTTTGGCCTCTCACTCTCCCCGGTCCGTTCTACTATCACGCTGCCACTTCCTCCGGGTCCGGGATTTCCCCGTGAGCCTCCATCGAAGAAGCCCACCCGTGTCACGCTGCCTCCTCCATCTTCTGCATCTGCCTGCCTAGTGGCAGCCGCCCATGTTGCGCGTATCCGCTTTGCCACAATTATTGTCTCGTGCGATCTTGGTGTTAGCGGGAACTATCCTAATGTGTATCTCAGTATCGTGTCCTGCAACGACGCCTTCAATCTGTTGACTGCATCTTCCAGCTGTCCGCTGTCGATGCCGTCCGGGTGCACTTCCGCTACCTTCCACCTCCAGATTGCCGTGATTGTTGCTGCACATCCCATTGTCCACGTTGCTGCTGCTGCTATCTGTATTGCTTCCCATCTGTCCACTTGCTGCCCGTCTCCCCAGTCTATCAGCCACTGTGGGAGCTTGCTTATTGTCAAGGAGCATATATCTCGTTTCAGCGCTGAGTTACTTCCCCATTCGCTTCCTAGCCCGGGCATCCCCCATGCTTTCACCCAGACAGTCCAAAAGGCCTTGGTGTCGGGGCAATTCCACAGCAAGTGATCTTGCCCGCTCTCCGTGCAGTTGGTGCATCTCGTCCCTGCGCATTTGTACTTCATCTCCTTTCCTCTCCACACCCTCAATCTCCCCATTTTCATCCTCACAATGTTTTGTTTCTGGTACGCTGTTACCCCATGCATCCGCTGCACGCTCTTCCACGAAAATTGCTCCATTGCCCTGCGGATGGCTGTGTTTGATTGCCCCCTTTTGATCCTCATGCGTTCTTGCTCTTTTGCCGCAGCGCTGCGTCGCTTCCTCCTTATTACGTCCTTGTATGCGTAACGCGACCTAGTCCATCTTCGCTTCCCCGCCCATAGCGGCTGCATGTGTGTCCGGTCAGGATGAGGCGTTACCCAGACCGCCTTGGGCGTCGTTTTCGGTAGCTCTGCTATATTAGCACTCTCCTCCGCCGGGCCGTCCCCCATGCTCACCTCCTTCTCCGTGAACGCCCAGCCGTGCCTGACAGTCGCTCGCCTGTCAGAGCTCTCGACCCAGAAGCTATGGTGTGGGTCCGTTAGTCCATGCGAGACTCTTAATTTGGTCGCGTCTCCTGGTTTGGACACTAGCTCCGGGAATTGAGCCAATAGTGATAGCCCTAGCTCTCTGAAGAGGTGCGCTTGCCTGCTTTCCATCGGCATCTCCGTGGAGTGCGGTTGCACTATCACCCTGCCTTTGCTCTCGTACTTGACTTCCATTAGGTCTCCAACCAGTTGCACTCCCCGTCCTTCTGTTAACCTCCTGTATGCCGACCACTTCCGTACTGCCCCAGTTGCGTCCCGCGGCACCAGCCTCTTGTACGGCAGGTCTGGCACTGTTTGATGTATTAGTCCGCCGTATTCCTTTTCTCTCCGCCTTCTCGCTTGTGTCATTCGCCCCAGTATTTGTGCTCCAAATTCACAGACCAACCCCATCTTACTCCAGGTCGTCTTCATGCCGTTTTTCAGCCTCATCTCCCGCCTTATGTCCGCCGTACTGTCTTCACTGGTTCCTTGCGGCATCTCAGGTGCGAATCCTGTCTCGACTATCGGCTTGCCGGTAGTCCAGATGTCTCCGTGTAGCTTTGGCTCAGCGCTGTTCGCATATGGTATAATGTGTTTGATGTTGACTCCTGCCTGTTGCTGTAGCAACTTGCCTGCGCTCTGCTTGCTCTTGGTCGTAGCGGTGGCCCATGTCCCTATTGTCGATGCGGCCAGTGCCATCAGCTCTGTTCTGATGTTTGGCACTCCCAGCCCTCCTTCCTTGGGTCTTAATTCCGCGACCACGGCCGGTACCCAGCCCCTCGGGGCATGATCCGGTGTGGAGAATGACGATTGCCAGACAAAGCTCCTTAGTCTCCAGTCCGCTTCCTTGACCAGGTCACCGTCCGGCCAAGCGTGCCTTGCCACGTACAGTAATTTTGGAACTATGATTGCCGACGCGATTGTCGCCCTCTCCTGCACTGTGTTCGTCTTTTCGACTGCCAGCGCTAGTCTGGTATTTAATGTTGCAAACGCCTTGGCCCATGCGCTTTTCGTCCTGTCCGTGGATCCTGTTATGTGCCCCAGGTATCTTGTTTCGGTGGCTTCTTGAAGTGCTTGGGCCCCCCTCCCTCTTTGTTTTAGCTCTTCCGTGCCTGCGTCCCCCAGTCGTATGGATAGCGATTTCCTGGCGTTTAGCAGTAACCCCGACACTTCCGAGAATTGTTTGACTGTCTTCAGCGCCGTGTCCTGCATTGCTGCGTCCTCGATGTAAATCGCCGTGTCATCGGCGAAGCCAGCTATTTGTATCTGTTCTTACTCCTCTTGGTCCCCTAGTCTGACTCCTCTGATTCCGCCCTCACACTGCACTGCGTCATACAATAGATCCAACGCCAGTATGAATAGCAACGGATCCAGCGGGCAACCTTGCCTTATACCACTCGTGACCAGTATTGCCCTCGATAACGTTCCATTGGCCATAAATTTTACCTCCGTGTGCTCGTGTGTATCTCGCACTAGCGCTCTGAATTTTAGGGGGAACCCCTTCGCCTCCAGCACTTTGTGCATGTATTCCCTGTCGAGTGAGTCGTATGCTTTTGCAAAGTCTAGGAGCAGCACTTGCGCGTAGGTGAGCTCCTTTTTGCCCGTCGCTGCTGCTTTCGCCGCCTCCAAAAGGTCGATTGCGTCGTGTATTGTCCTCCCTGGGATGAACCCGTACTGTGTTTGATGTACCAACCTCTTTACATGTCTCCGTACTCTCCACGCCAGAATCCTGATGAGAATCTTGTAGTCGGTATTGAGTAACGCGATTGGCCGGTAGTTTAGTTCGTTGCTTGTGTCTCCCCCCTTTGAAATACTGAAGATGTACGCCTCGCTGAAGGACGTTGGTGTGCTTCCTTCGTCCAGAAAGACGTTGAACAACTTCGCTAGTATTGGCACCAGAATATCCGCGAAGTCTCGGTACCATTCGTTGCCTATGCTGTCGGGTCCGCACGCTTTTCCGATCTTGCATTTCTTGATCGCTGCTGCTACATCCTCCTCCGTTATTGTCCTGTCGATATCTTCCAAGTCTATCTTCTCCCAGGTTTGTCTGCATTTGCGTATGAAGTCTTGAGCACCCCCCTCGTCTTCTGCCTTCCCGTTGAAGATGCTCTCCCAGCAGTCTGCCAATGTTTCAGCCTTGTCATGTGTGCCCCGCGCCTGGGTGCTCCGTCGGCGGCCTTGAGCGCCGGGATGATATTGTCTCCGTACTTGGTGCAGATCCTGCTGAAGAAGTATTTGGTTGACGTTTTCGACGTCCATGCTCCTTTGTTGATGAGGCCTCGCCGTTTGAGGGCTCTGCGTTGAGATTGTACCTGTTTCAGCTCCGCTATCCATTCTTCTCGCTGCTTTCTGTCTTCTCCGGTTCCGTTCCTTCCTGCTGCCAGCTTCCGCTTCAGCCTGCTTATTCTTTGTCTGCATCCTTTGGTCGTCCTTCTTCGTGCGTGTTGCTTAAGTTGCGCCATCTCCTTCTTTACTCGTTCTTTGAAGCGATCCCATTCCAAAGCCCATGTACTTGGGCTGATGTCGTCTAGTCCGGCCCCCCAGTTCGTTAATCTCTTCTCTATCATGTCTTTTGTTGCCGCCTGCACGTACATCGGTGGGGGATATACTGTCTCCCTCTTTTTGACCCTGACTGCTCCGTTTGGATAGTGCATCTCCAGCAAGACTCCCCTGTGATCAGAGTCGCATATACCCTCATCCGTGGTTACTCCACGTACTTGTTTCCATTCGTGTCCACTGATGTACCATCTGTCTAAGCGCGAAGTTCTCTTCAATCCGTCCGCTGTAGTATAAGCGTATGTGTGGTGTGTTCGGGCGTACGTGTCCACCTCGATGTCCGTTATTGCCTCTGGCATGTTGCTTTCTCCTGTGTCCACTAGCGCGTTGTCCTGCAAGAAGAGACGTAGTGTCCTAGCCCCCGCATCTTCTGTCCCATTTTTTCCGCTTCTGTCTACCTCTGTCATCGTTACGCAGTTAAAATCCCCTCCACATGTGACGGTATGTTCCTTCGGCAGCTCTATCCCCCGGAGCCTGTTGAAGAAAAGCGTCCTTGTGGGTCCGTGAGACGGAGCATACACGTTGACGAAGAGATGCCGCTTCCCTTGTATTTCTCCTGTGGCCATCACTAGATGCTCCGTCCAGTGCTCTTCCCCCCATGCCTTCAGGTCCTTCACCGCTCCATACGGATTGATGAGGATGGCTACTCCTGCTCTTCTGGCAGTGCCTGACGACCATAGTGAGAGTGTGGTGATACATGACTTTTTGTACCCCCACATCGCCGCATACTGTGCAGCTGCTGCTTCTTGTTCTGTACTTGTTAAATGGGTCTCTTGGATAAAGGTGATGTCCCTCACTCCGTGTTCTTGCCGCTCCCGCAGTACTTGTAAATATGCACCCAGGTGCTCCTTGTGCATTGCCATTCCTCTGACGTTGTAAGTGGCTAAGCCCACAGTTTTGTCGTTCATGTGTTGTTGCGCCGCTAATCGTCGTTTACGTCTCCTCGTTGTTCTTCGTTGTCTCGTTAAAAGTCTGTTGAAAGTCTTGTGGTCCTCCGCTATTGTCTCCATCCGATCTTGCTCCGTAACTTGCCTGAAAAATTCTCGTATGAGCTGCTGCCTCCCCCTTCCTTGCTGCAGCCGCTCGATCCCTTGCGGGGTTGGATCACTGCATGGTTCCCCCATCACCGGCTTGTGTCGTGGGTCTTTCTTGCCTCTCCGGCGCCACTGCCGTCCTTTCCTTGGGCTTCTCTTCGTGATCGTTCCTTTGTGTTATGTGTGTCGGTGTCACGCTTGGTGGGTAGTGTGCTGTAGGTGCCGTGACTATTGCTTCAGGTTTGTTTGACTTGCCTCCGGGTCTTACACCCCCGTCCAGTTTCTTATCTTCCGTCGCGGTAATTTTTGTCGGCTCCGACTGGGTCTCTTCTTCAGAAAAGTGGTTGTTGCTGTACTGTCCTTCCTTGTCTCCCCATGATTGCGCTGGCTCGCTTCCTCGTTTCATTTCCTGCTCGTCCCCTTGTACGTCCCGTGCTTCTGTCTCCAGTTTCTTCGCTTCTCTTCTGATAGCTTTTTATTCCCTGGCAGCTGCTCTTGCGGTCTTATCTGGATCGTAAGGCTCTGGATCTAGCCCAATGCCTCCATATTTTTGGATAATGTTGTTGCGGCGTTCCGTGAGCTCCCTCCATCGCTCCGTGTATTCTTGGTATCTTGTGGCCTCGTAGGTGACCGCTTGGTAGTGGTTCCCCGTGCCGCTGTACCTGAGTATCATGATGATAGGGAGCGTGCCAACTGCTATGAGGTCTCTCAGTAGGTCTTCTCCTATTTGAGAGGGCATTGGCACTACCATGCCGGATTCGATCATTGTTTTGTCTGGGAGCTCCACGTCGTGGTAGCCATAAACTTGCAGCCTGGTGTTCTCGTCCTGCATCACATTTAGCACATACACCATTTCCCTAGAGTGCATCGCCATTGCTTTGATGTGTTCGGGTCTCACCCAGTAGCTCATGGGCACGAACGCTTTTGCTGATCTGTTGCGTTGGTCTGCGTAGTGGTTGGCCAACGCTTTCTGCTTCTCCGCCTTTGGAGCATGCATGGGGATATCCTTTCCGATTGCCTCCACTGCTGCTACAAAATCCGCGTCGTGCACCTCTGCTTCGTCCACCAAGTTCGCAATCATGCTGTTGATGACTTGTTTTTTCAGGATGCTCGCTGCTTCTGCTGTCGTTGTCTCCACGGGCTTGAGGCCCTCCCTGACATTGTGTATCGCGGCCAGGAAAGCCAGCCAACCGCAGTGCCCGTTTGCGGCCACGTCGGTTATTGTTCCCCCCACAATGTCTAGCCAAATTTTGAGCGGTAGTCCGTGATCGTCTCCCTCTTTGACTCCTGTCATTAGGAAACCTTCGGCGTTCAGGTGTTGGGTTTCTTCGTGTTCTCGCGGCTGGGCTCGTTTGCTCTCGGTTTCCTCCTGCTTGGTGGTTGCCGATGTTACGTAGTTGTGCATGTATTTCTGTATGGCACGTCTTCCTACCAGAATATTACCTTTAGATCCGTGTTTATTCGTCTCTTGGTGCTTGATGCCTCGTTCTTCTGCTGCGTTCTTCTTTTGTGCTTTACTATTTCTGCCGTTGTCATTGTCGGTGCCCAGCTTCCAATTTTCGGAAAGTTGTCTTTTCGGCGACAGTGACCGCGTGTGCTCTTCGTGCTCCGCAGTACCTGCCTCAGGCCTCCGTTTGGCACTGCGTGGGTCGTACATTTGTGTCTGTTCGGGTCTGCTTGCTTGTTCCTTCTTCTCCGCCCTGTGGCCTCCCTCGTTTACACCAGTGTCAGTCCGGTTGTGGCGTGCGTCTTGCTCCGCATGGGCCTCATCTTGTTCACTCATGTACCAGTCTTCTTCTTCATAGTCGGAGCCTGCGGCCTGCGTCGGTTGATCACCTTCTGCATTAACTCCTGTCTCCTTGTGTGCCTCTATAGCTTCTGTCCGCTCCGATGTCTTGACTGCACTGTACCCCTTGTTGCTTGTTTCCAAATTACCCGGCTTTTTTGGGGTCGCCATTGCCCACCTGGCCTGTTCTCAGTCCTTGGGAATACTCGGCCTCTCACGTCCGTCTGCTGCCGCTTGCTGCTTCTCCTGGCCTTGCTTCATATTCTGGGAGGTGCTCGATAGTTGACGTCCTTTGACTTGTGCTAATAATTGCTCGATGGTTGTTGGATGTGCGTTGCTGCCGTATTCGCGTCCTCCTTTTCCTCGCTGTGATATAAGCTTGCCTTCTAGTTGCACTGCATGATTCTGGTGTGTCTCCTTGATGCGCTCGGGTAGCGTTCTGCAGAAACGTCCCGAGTGATCAGGTGCTCCACATAGTGTACATGGCCAATGGGGATAGACTTCGTGATGGTACACCGTCAATGAGATGTCGCCCACCACCATGCTGGATACTCTCCGTAGATTCGCTGGGCACGCTTCCGCCTTGATGCTGACATTCCATTGCTTGTCATTCACGTTTCCGTCTCCCGTTTCAACGTGTGCTAGTGCTTGCACTCGTACCCCTAATTTCGGGCTTAGTATCCAATACAGGTCAGAGGAGGTGGGGCAGCCCCTCTTTGCTGCAATCGTGAATCGATAGTAGTCCATATGAATCAGAGCATTATTCGTCTTGGCTTCCTCTCGTTGCGTCTCGTAGTCCACCAATTTGAGCATTCTCATCCCCAGCGGCATGCCCCATCCAACCCACTTCATGGCAGTGTTCTTCCATTTAAAGGTCACCTTGACGACTCTTGTCTTGATTGCTGCTCTTGAGATCTCCCTCTTAAACTCCATGATTTGCATTTTTTGTGGATAAGCGGCTTCTGCTCCCATGTTCATGTGCTGCAGGATTGCTTGTATCGACATGTTGGGCCCGAAACGCTGTCCAGGGAGTAAATGAGCGTATAGTGGATATTCTATCGCCATGAACAGGTCAGTGAAAGCCGCTAATTCCCTAGCGTCCATGATTTGAATCAGGAAACGCCGAGGTATCGGCACCTCTAACTGGTGATGAAGTATCCTCTCGATTGCTTGTTTCTCTTCGTCCGTCATATCTCGTAAGACCCTGATTGGTTCCGCTTTCTTCATGCACAGTTGATACCATTTTTGAAGGTCCTCATTGTCTTCACCGTTTTTTTGGTAGGCAGCTCTTCTGTCTCCGCTACGGCATCCTTGTAAGATCTGCTCGGTTTATTCGCGTCTGTGTTTTCTTGAGCCTCTCTTGGGTCATTTGTGAAGGTGAACTGCATGAGTCTAGCTTCAAGCTCCTCTTGGTTGACAGCTTGTTTGATCAGCCATTCCTCCATTGGTCCTCCTAGTCGTTCCCGGTGGTCTGCCTTGGCGCAGTCCCATGTGCTTAGCAGCTCTTTGTATTGATCCCTCAAGTGTAAAGGAATTTCATCTGTCCATTGCTCCCTGATCTTGTCCTTTTCTTCGGCCGTGGCTTTTTGTTTCTTCATTTGCTCCAGGTGAGCTTTGAAGCGCCGCTCCTTGGCGAGGTCCTTCAATCTCAGCATTGTGTGTAGCACATACTCCGTAGGAGCTTTGTCCATCAGGTATGAACGCAGTTGGGCGTACACTGTAACCCCATCTCCTGAGTCTGGGGCTCCTTGTCTCCCATTTGTTCTCCTTGGTCTCTCTCCTCGTGCGGCTGTCCCTCCTGGTAGACTACGCTTGCTGGTTTCTGGTGTCGTTCCCACTTTCCCCTGCTCTCTTGCTCCTGTTGATCTTTCGTACCTCCCCGCCGAGCCGCCCATGCTTGCTTGATGCTTTCCGTGCACCACTGTCTTCCATCCTTTTTTATTTTCCTGTTCATCATCTCCTCCTTTTCCTCCTTGCATGTGTATTCCTCTGCCTCCCATGTGGCCTTCGTCCGATCCTGTTGCCACCGTTCAGTCCCTCGTTGATCTCCGTCCGTTTCGACGCAACCTTTTAATAGTACTTGAAGATTGTATGACCCGGGGGTTTCGCGTCCTTCCAAACGCCCCCCGGGATCTTTGTTGCTTGAGCGCTTCCTTCTCTCGGCTGGGGTCTTGAGCAGTCGCGCGCAAATTTGGAAGTGGACCCATCCTTTCTTCGAACAAGAGGCTCCAAGGGAGCAATTAGAAACTCAGGATGCGAGAGTCTGGGGGTCTCTCGTGTTCCTGACAGCAGGTATCTGTCGTGGTTGACCACCAGTCGAGCGTTTTTGCGCACTTTGCTGTAGTGTTGATTCCACACTTTCATGAACGTGAGCATGGATTCTCCGTCGAACAAGACGTGGCTGCAATCCACTCCAATGGCCATCCCCCCATCCGCTAAAATGGATCCTTTGACGGCGATAATCTCTTTTTGAGCTCGAGGCTTTGGCATAAACTCCCATGATAGAGAATCGATCGCGTCATTCGTTGTGTGGTAGCTAATCGGAATCGTTTCAAAGCGGATTCCTTTCGCACCTTGGTTTCTCGACACTGGGGTTTGTTTGACGCTTATCGTCTTTCCATGAACGTGGAGCTCGCCGACTAAAACGGGGTAGTCCTCGTTAACCAGAGTAACAAACGAACGTTGCAGTTTATCGAGATTGAAAGCAGAAGCTTCGGACGAAGGTGGCGGATAAATGTAGAGCACGACGACGCGATAGGTGTTCATGACAGCGTCCATCGCGGACAACGGAATCAGTACGTCTCCTTCGATTTCCACTGGGGTAGCGATGGTGGCCATGATATTGAGTGTTTGCTGGATAATTTATCACTCGACCACAGCGAGGTAAATGCGAAAGTAAGGCGTACAGGAGGGACAGTAGTGCACTAGAGGAACAAGAAATGGGTCTCGACAACCAGGTACCAGTTAGACGTCATTAATACAATCGATCTGAGTTGTATCTTAGCCGATTTCGTGAGTGACGTTCATATAATACACGGTGATAATATCAAGGAAGCCACATCATTACACGTAGTGACGTCCTGAGATATTATCGGAGTTCGCAACAAGACTGGAGCACGGGCTGCATGAAGATCGAGTACTATAGTTCAGCAGCAGAGGGCCGCCCGTTTGTCTCATGGCCAGCTACGTTGTTATCGTGGATCACATAATACGTTGTTTTTTATTCATTTGTGGGTAAAATACTAGTTGGTTAAAAAAAATCGAGTACTACTACATGTACTACCAAAGTGATGAAAATACTACCACATTATTTTAATCAAGTGCTTCGATGTACTATTAAATAGAAAGATATATTTTATCTTTCCCAGCCTATTGTAGGTACGTCACCTCAGCGAATATCTTCTTGAGCTTCTCCATCGCTGTGCATTCAAGGAACACACCCACGTCGATTCCATCGCCGCCTTTGCGAGCCTCTGTGACCATAACAAAGCCATCGTAGCACGGCAGCTGAGGAGCACACGCGAACCACGGATGAATGCCATCAAACTCAGCGTTGTACATGCCCATGTGTAGCCAAGAGGTGAACATGAGATCGTGGCCGAACACAAAGTTCGTACCCACCTGAACTGCAGCTATATCGCTTTGCTCCGTCAGAAAGTCGATAGCATCGCGTAGATACTCATCAGTTCGTTGCAAGATCGACTCGCGCACTCGTCGAGCGAGTTTCCCCAGTATCATGGGAGAAACTCCCTTCTCCTCGCTTAACTGCAATTCGGTGCTGGTAAATGTCGAGAAAGCGTTAAAAATAACATTCCCCACGTAGTTCGGAGGCAGAGGAGGCTCGAGACGACGTCGAGCGTTCACCCCGGTCGTGATTCTCACATTTTGCCCATGACCTCGAGCTCTGGAGATCAAGATCGTGAAGAGCGCAGTGATTGCGTCGACGGTACTCACATATGACGATGCCGCGTCATCGCCTTTCAACCCATTACTCGCTACTTGTTTGGAGTAAAGTGAAACAACTCATGAGTTGTCGCGGGAGGCACTTGGGCTTCATTATTTGCCCTACTTTCTGCCACAACACGAAACTCTGGGTGCTGCATTGCTGATGGCTTCCCCTTTCCCTTCAGTAAGTGTCGATCATGGTTCACTACAAGTCTCTGTTCTTTCGGAACGCCGCTGTAGTGTTGACCCCACACTGTCATGAATGTGAACATGGCTTCACCGTCAAACAGCGTGTGACTAGCGTTGACCCCAATAGCTAAACCTCCGTCGTTCAGTAGCGTTCCTTTGACACAAATGAGCTCAGTTTCGCCTCGTGTAGTCGGCATTAAGTCCAACGATCGCTCCTGGATCGCCTGCTCCGTTGTCTTAGGATTCTCTGGATTCGTCTCGAATAGGATACCTTCCGCCCCCTTTTCAAGAGACTCCGCTGTCTGCTTTACGTTGACGACCCCTGTACTTGGATCCACGTACAGTTCTCCGATGAGAATGCGGTAGTCTTGTTCTACGAGGGAGATAAATGACGACTGCAGTTTGTCGAGGTTGTACGAGGAGGATGAAGGAGGGAAGATGTACAGGATCACGAAGCCGAAGCCGTGCATCACCGCGTCCATAGGCGACAAAGGCAGCAGCGTTTTGTCCGAAGCTGTAGCCATCTTTGTTGATCAGCAAATGTGGGAGTGGAGTGAGTATAAAGCGTTGATGTAGAGGGCCGCTTCTACATTAGTGGCTACAGTCACTCCCCAGGAAACGTTGCGCACATGTTCGGTGTGGTAGAATCACATATCAATTCTACATGGTGATGATTTTACTAATACACGGTATTTCTTTTTACCGCAGCTCATGCATTACCTGTAAAGTTGCCTTCGTAAGATTCATAGAGCAACTTAAGTGAAAATCCAAGTTCAGTTGAAGGCTCATTTAGCAATTGCAAAGTGTAACATACAAATGTATCCATTTTAAGGCGTTGGTCTTAAAGCATGGCTTCCTCGCCTTCACTGTCACTCTCTCCCTTCTCCTCCCGCTCTTTCTCCTCTTCTTCTTCTCTTTTCTTCACAGCCTTCATTTTTTCTTTCTCCCGTAGCTCTATCATGAGTCCTTGCACCTGATGTCCTTTGCCCAGCGTCTCCGCCCGGTCAATAAAGTCCTCAAAGTTTAGACCCGGGTACAAGTCGAAGGCCCATTGCTTGTACATATTGATCAACGACGCCAAAGATTGTGACTCTCGGCCAGATACATCAGCTGAAACCTGGTACGGGAATGTTCGATGCACCTTCTTAAAGCCCTCGGCCGAGACGAGGTGCGACTCGCGCAGCATGTTGCGTCGCCGCTTCTGGGTCACGACAGGCGCGTCCAAATTGCTCGCATCTTCTCCACCGTCCTGTGTAGCTGGTGCAGCTTTAGCGGTGGCGCTAGAGGCGTCGTCACGCCGAGCCAGGTCTTCGTCGCGCTCCCATCCACGTGACGCCATTTTTGATTATTTAAGGCGCGAAATGATCGAGTTTGAAGGGATTATGTATGTGATGTATTGTACGTAAGGTAACCATTACATCAGGTTGAAGAGGGAAAGGTGCACGTTGAAGTGGCAAGTATGGAGTCCAGTTGCGTCTTTCCTTCGCGTCCAGTGTGTCTCGGTGTTGTATTTTTCAGTGTTCGTTCGCAAAGTTTCAACCCGGATTCATCGAAACCATCGTTACAGTGATGCCCAGCGCCTTTAATCTCACTTTCGAATCTGCTTTCTGCAACTTCACAACGCCAATACTCAAGTCTCAATGAAGATCTCCCTGCTTTTCTTGTCTGTCGCTGTGGTGGCGACGCTCGTTAGCGCAGATGAGTGCTCGATGGACGACCTCACCACCATCTCTAACCTCTACAGCTCGGCCATGACCGACGGCACATCCGCTTGTCCAGATGTGGCCGCAGCCCACGACGCCACGTCCAAGGACTACTGCACCCCGGACTGTGTGGACTTTATGAGTAGTATGCTGGACGAGCTACCGGATTGTTCCACAGAAGGCGTCAATATTAAGGCTGGCATTCAAGCTGCCATCGACTACTGTGAGACTGGGACAGCCGATACATCGGACGTGCTGACAGGGTCCACGGCAACTGCCGGATCTTCCTCCCTTCGGTCGGGCTCCTCTAGTGGAGGCTCCACCTCGACAATACCAGACTCAACTTCGAGCGACAAGGTGACAGCTAGTACGATCCCACCAGCCTCTGGAAGCTCGACAGCTTCGTCAATCGGTATCACCATTTCAAGTGTCGTGTTCGCTATAGTAGCATTTATCAGTGCGGCTGGACTGTAAGGCATTGAGTGCAATGAGGCAATATGCATATATTTGTAACATGCACTTGAAATATTCAATCACCCCTTCCCGGCATGAATTTGTAAATTTATCTTAATACCGAAAAGAAATAAAGATAAACGCGACTTTAATATTGTGCAGTTACAGTGTAGTTGACCTGTCAGAATGTACTTTCGGTATTTCTGGTAACTGAACCATGTGCATCTTACGTGGTGTTCAGTAGTTTCCATCTTTTTGCGATTTATTGTTCGTCTATGGATTATGGAAGAGCTTTCCAGCTTAAATATTTACTATTAGGAAGTACATTTCCTTCTTTCCACTTGCTCACTTTTCAATCTCCTTTGACCAAAGACACACCACTATCCACATCATGAAGGCCTCTGCTCTATTCCTGATCGGTATCATCGCAACGTCAAGCTCCATGCTCAGTCATGCGGCTGAGTGTTCGGATGACGATCTCATGTCGATTTCCGAAATTTACAGCCAGGCCATGACCGACGGAACAGCTTCGTGCCCCGACTTGACAACGGCAACGGATGCTTCCGACTACTGCAGCTTCACAGAATGTCTGAGGTTCATGACCAATATGCTGGACGATCTCCCGGACTGCACAACTGGCGGTGTCAGCATCAAAGAAGGTGTGCAAGCTGCCATTGATATCTGCGACGGCGGAACTGCCGACATGTCAAATGTCTTCACGGACACTTCATCCAGCTCGATGCTCACGACGGATTCATCTACGGATAAGCCGGCGGACGCAACATTTTCTTCCGATTCGTCTTCGAACTCTGCTACTGCGACTGACACTGCGTCGTCTTCCGATTCTCTCCTGAGAACGGTCTCTCCTTCGGATTCGTCCACAAGCGACAAGATCACGGCTGACCAGGCGACAGGAAGCTCGTCGGCCTCTACGGTAGAGTTGACCATCTCGAGCTTTGGCGTTGCAATGACGACTTTCATTTTTGCAGTTGGTTTGTAAATCATTGCGAGGGGGGATGCATTTTAGTGAGAGATAAGCCTTTTTTTTTTTACTGAAATAGGCTCTCAAAACTGTAAGTGCAGTGGATATTTTTACGGACTTCTCACTAACTTCTTGCCAAACACGTAAATGAGGCTCGCATTTATTAAGCGATCTACAGTATTTACTGCTCGGTTCTTTGAATGAAGAGAGCACCCATTCGCGATAGTAGAATGGTACTCACTTTACACTCAAGTGCCATTTCGAAATAACAGGAGTCATGTTACAGGACTTTTGATTCCAGGCAAATTTGCCCGGAAATTAAAAAAGTATTTATAAATCGATTGCTCATTCGCTTTGTTACATTGTGCTTGAAATTTGAACAAAGGACATTTCTAACAACTTCACACCACGAAATATACGTTTCAAGCGCACCCTTGACACAAAAAATTCTACGTAACGTTAGTAGAAGGCCAAGTGGTATCATCATTCAAATATAGAGTCGGCCACGCGTCGTAGATTGCGCTCTGCCTGTCGAACTTTCACGTTCAGCGCATGTTTCCTTCTGTACGTTATCGCCTCAAATTTATGTTTGCTCCTTCGATCTCGCCATTTCTCATACCGCGATGAATGCCTCAACTCTACTACTCCCCTTGATGGCTATCGCAACGTCGAATTCAGCGTTGGTACTCGCAGTTGAATGTACGACAGACGACCTCACTACCATCTCCAAGCTGCCAGACTGCTCCAGTGTTGATGTCAATAATAAGGATAGCCTGAAGGCTGCGCCGACACAAACGAGTGTACGTCGGGTGAGCTCTCCACCATAGCCAACGTCTACAACGCGTTCATGTCCGATGCTGCCGCGTGCCCAGAGCTCCACTGGGGGAGTCAACATTAAAGCGAGCCTACAAGCTGCCGATTACTATTGTGGCGCTGACGCTACTGGCAGCTCCGACGATAGGAGTTAGACGGCCAAAACTGCCTATTCTATCTCTTGTGGATCAGGTTCCGCAACGCCCGCTGCTACAGATTCGACTTCATGTACTAACGAGAAAGTCATCACAACTACGGCTCCACCCGACACAAGAAGCTCGATGGATTCGACAATCGCTATCGCCGTTTCGAGCGTGGTGTTTGCAGTGACGGCATTCGGTGCTGCTAGACTTCTTTGACAACGTACAAAAGCTCTGATATTATAATCTACAGTAGCTGAGAGCATGACCGCAAGCTGTGCAAGAGCTAACACAGTGAGTGTAATTTCGAGATCGGGCTGGTGGAACGGGTATTGTCATCGGAAACTAAATGTGATGTCGTAAATTAGAAACAGAGCTTAAGCTTCTGACTTTTCGAAACTACACCTTTGCCCGGCCAAACTCGGATTAAGCGACATGCAAAGTCGGGATATAACTTCGGCTTACGTTTGGTTACTTGTGTTTATTACATTAAATTGCGAAATGTGCAAGCAAGGCCGATTTTGCCGCACGCAAAGTCGGAGATAGACCAGCGCGCCAAACCGAGAGCCGCGCGCGCCAAAATGAATGGACGCTAGGTGGCTTTGTAGCGTGGATCAGCTTCTACGATCACTTTCCAATCGTCTCCTAAGGCCCCAGATGCCCAGCCAAGCCGCCCGCCTGTCACCTCACACCCCAATGGAGCACCTGCGAATGCTCGACGCGTACTGTGCTGGTCGCCCTGACTAGAAGATTGTCGCGGTAAGCAACGGCTTTCCATCGTCGACAGCATACGACTTGGTCAAGCCTGATCGTGCCAATGATGTAAAACGTGGAGGCGCACGTGCAAAGTCAACGAAGGTAACAGACGAGGTCGTGGCGTTTTTGGAGAGGTACCGGAACGAGAGCTGCACGTTCACGTTGAAGACGATGGTGAGCATGCTGACCTTCGACACTGGCATCTCGCTGTCTACCTCCACGGTTAGCCGTCACTTGGTGGGCTTGACATACACAGTCAAGCAAGCGCAAATTGAGCCCTCAACCTGCAACAATGACGTTAACAAGGCAAAGCGCCAAAAGTTCGCGAAAACACTCCTGAAGCACCATCGCAAGGGCAATTGCATAGTATACTACGACGAGACGAACTTCAACGTCTACTGCATGTCGCACCGCGGTCGTGCTAAGAAAGGAGCACGAGCCGTCGTGGTTTTGCCCCCGTCCAAAGGGCCACACCTGCAGATTCAATGTGCTGTAAATTCGACCATCGGGCTTGTGCACCACCACCTCCAACGAGGTAGCATTCAGATGGATTGCAACGCTGAATTTGTCGAGGAGGTATACCAAAAGGTGAAAGAGTCTGAGGCGTTCCGTGAGAACTTCCGCGGCAAGAAGATCGTGATCGTGCTCGACAACGCGCCTGCTCATAGTCAGACGGAAGAGCGTGTTATCGCGCACGCAGACCTGAAGCTGCTGCGGCTGGGCCCCTATTCGCCAATGTGCAACCCCATCGAGGGGTGCTTCGGCATCCTTAAGTCAAGAATTAAGAGCGAACTGGCTGTCGACCGAGAACAAATTTGCGATAGACGTCGCGGAGTGCACCGCGATGAAAATGGCGAGTTAATCACTCTCGGAGAGCGCCAAATGCAGTTCTTGGAGCGGGCAGCTCGAGCAAGCATGTGGTGTACGACGCCCACGTTAGTGGGTCAGATGGAATTACACTGTCGCGATGCTATCATTGCCGCTAGGGACCTCGAGGATATGCAGTATGGCAGATGAGCTGGTCTCTCTCCGACTTTGCTTGCACATTTCGCAATTTAATGTAATAAGCACAAGTAACCAAACGTAAGCCGAAGTTATATTCCGACTTTGCATGTCGCTTAATCCGAGTTTGGCCGGGCAAAGGTGTAACTCCAAGATTCGAGCATTTTTCGTGATCGCGTCTTCCATATTTTCAAATGCTCTCATGTTTTGTAGATTTTTAAATAAGCTTAATGGTTTCGAGGCAGAGCTACACCGCACAGCAGAGGTCGTAACCTCCGTGTCCGGCAGCGCCGTCAAGAACGAATTCTCCGCCCCATCGAACAGCTGTAGCGACAGCTATACCGGTACAGTACCGCCATGAAAACTAAAGTATCGTGGATTGGTGCACTGCGGTAAGTATCGCCATGTAGCTTTTATTACCCTCTAGAAAATGAACTAGATCGTCTGCGACTTTGGCTGGGAATACGTGATAGAGAGAAAGTGATTACCGAAGAAGGTCGACAAGAATCGAACCAGAAAATAGCTGGAAATGTAATCGAATAGGAGGCCTTTGTTCAATCTTGAAATCGAACGATGCCGAGCACGAAAAAGCCTGCGATTACAAAGAAGGAGTTTTAGGCAACTGCGATTGCTATGATATCGAGTGACCCGCATCCTAAAGGTCTGTGGTTGGGGGAGTCTGCCTCTAAGGTGATAAAAGCACATGTCCTTGGCTCGGGGACGCGGTGGAATAAAAAGATGAATGCGGTGCTGAAGAGGATTTTGTACGCACTTTGAGGCAAAACCAAGCGAGAGGTCACACGCAAAACTATCATAACGCTCTGTGTACTCCCTCGTAGAAACTCGAAATGATTCCGGAAGGAGAGCCAACGGTAAACATACATGACCGCTTTGAGAGCCAACAAGAAATTTACAACACGATGCACACGCAAAAATACTGTAATTTGATGGATCAGCTGCTGTCGACGATGTCTAGCATTGCTAGTACTCCAGTGAACCAGGAGGCGGATCTATTACACGTAGCAATCGCTCTTTTACCGAAACGTCTTCACGAACATGTTCATCATTGAAGACGAAGGCATCCGGAGGTCCTCCACAACAGTAATAGTAGGCCAAGGCCAGCCTCGGGTCACTCGTAAAGTTCTAGCCCTTTGTCATTAACAGAATGTCTTCTTCAGCAATATCAATCTTCTCGAGTTTTGAATCTGCGAGCAATTGCATACGGTCACTACTGCTCATATCTTGTCCGCTCCCGTCCTACAATTGATGATTGTGGGATCTATCGTCCCGGCGCGAACCGCGTCCACTACAGACATTCCTTGTTTAGATTTTAGTATCCTTGGGACAAAGTTTCATGTTGTATATACACTCACCGCGCTTCTTCTTTTGTTTGCGCCGATAGTTACGCATGCAATCTGCACATTGGCCTCGCTTTTGCTTGGGATCTTGTCGTTCCGTGCCGGTAAGCACTTGTATCATAGCGAAATGTTTAGTACTCCAACAAAGCATTTATACGCTGACCTTACCGTTGTTCATTTGCTCGACCCGATATTGGCGCTTTTATATGTCGCGTGCTGGTCCCGCTTCTCCTTGGCTTGGTCTGCATCGACACGGGATTGATCAGCTAACTTCCGAGCTGCACAATACTCGCGCATGTATTGTGCCTTGCGCCGTCGCTTTTGTTCTCGCAGGTCTTCTTCACTCGATACTACGGACGCGGGGCGCTTACTCATCCTTTCAACCACTGCGCACACCAGAAACAAGAGTAGAAACCCTCAATGTCAAAAGACAATGATCTCGGAGTCTGCTCTTGATGGTGAATCACTCCCGGCAACAAGGCTCCAGGGTCTCGAGACACCACCCCCAGTGCACAACAAGTGTCGTGAAGATGGCAAATCCTGAAGTGTGAATCAAAACGAAAAAATTATAGGTGTTGACTAGCGACGAGACCCATCATCTGGCTCGTGATCTTCTCGTTAGAATGATGTACGACACATTGAGGCTGGTGAACAAGCCGAGTTGCGCAACAACCTGCATGTTGTACGAATGTTGACTGAGGTTACAGGACATTACGCAGTACCGTGGAATTAAAGCCGTGAGGCCGTCCATACCTCATTATATTCGGTATTCCCAGTATAATCACGACTATAACTCTCCCGCAACTTGCACACTTCAAGCACATCAACGCCGATACACTTCGTCCAGGTCCCACGTCATGACCATATCGTCAGAAGATAAAAGGGTTAATAGCTCGGAGACAGGTGGAGTCTTCTCTCCACTCTCGATTATCCCTTATTACCACCAGTTCGTTCTTATGCGTCTGCTCTTCCTCTCGCTATGGATTCTTTGCTGCTTTGATAACGCTATCAACGCCGCCGAATGCACCGACGCTGAAGATAAAAGTATCACGGACGCGTACGCTGCAGCGGCAGCTACGAGCGCGTGTTCCAGCTACGCGAGCACCAACATCTTGATCCTCATCACTCCTCCATGCTCTGCAACAGACTGCGTTGGCGTCATGACCGAACTAGCCAGCACCATCCCGAACCGCACGTCGTCAGGACTCTCAACGTCTGAGAAAGATCAACTGCTTCGATCTCTCGATATTTGCGCCACGCCAGCTCCTACTCCCGCGTCCACAGCATCAACAATCAACTGTACGAGCGCAGAAGCTGAAGCCACGTTCAACGCCTCCTACGAAGCCGCCAACGGCACGTGTGCCAGCTCCACGAACATGGAACAATACAGCATCATCATCGACACCGAGTGCACCTCTCCATGTGCTCAAGCCGTACGAGATTTCGCTCATACCTTACCGAACTGCTACTACCGATTATCGAACGAAAACACCAACAAGAAGCAAGATATCGCTACACAATTCAGCTACTGCGAGACGCTGAGCAACGCTACAAATATCAGTATTTACGCTGATTCCGTCGATAATCTCTTAGGTTCTACAGCTGGCGTGGCGACGGTAGAGCCCAGCTGCACGGCAGAGGGGATTGAAGACACGGTGGCCTTCTACATGACTGTAGCAGCGAACGAGTCGTGTGTGAAGGACGCGTCCATTTGTGCCTACGATATCCACGTGAACACCGACTGCGATTTCCCGTGCGGCCGACTCGTTCGACGTCTCGGATACGACGTACCACGGTGCTACTTCAACCACAAGAACCACCGCGAATCTCTGATTAGTAGCTGGTATCAATGCGAATGGATCGTCAACCCAGTGGATATTTCCTTTAGCTTCCACTACGAGAGCATCTTTAACGCCACAGTAAACTCGTCGAGCACATTGTTGGGAGTTGTGGCTCTTAGACACGCCTCCCGAAGTAACAAACAAGCTCCTTGTTTGCAAAGGGAAAATGTGAAGACTGAATTACTTTGTGTCAGTTGCTCTGCTTCCTGAGCATTGACCAACACTCACGGGCCTTTGCCCTCTCTCATATAACGATCTGGTTTCTTTGCTGTTCCAGCTTTTTTCAATCTGCGCCAGGCCTCGATGCACAATCCAACACGCCCTTTTCGAAGATCGGTCTTCGATGTCGAATACTGGTCTTCGACTACTTTTCTGCTCCAATGCCTGTAATCAGCAACAATCCTTTCAGTCGCTTCTTGTCCAGAGGCTTGGTGAACGTGTCGGCCGGGTTTGTTACCCCCTTCACATTATGCAACTCCACAGTGCCTTTTTGCACTTGCTCTCGTACGTAATGCCACCGTAATTCAATGTGGCGCGTACGTCTGCTATAGGTAGGATTAGTTGCCATCACGTGAGCAGCTTGACTGTCAATTCCTACACGCAATTTCACCTCGTGCTGCGGTAAAATCTCTTGCAAAACATTTTCCCAGCAGCTGCCTCCATTGTGGCTTCACACGCTGCAATGTACTTCGCCTCCGCGGTCGACAACGCGATGACGGATTGTCTTCGTGACATCCATGCTACAGCTCCGCCTGCCAGCGTAAACACGAAACCAGTAGTGTCCAGACACATCACTGTCTGCTCTCCATTCACTTCAGTAGTTAAGGCAACAGTGCCCACCCCAGCGATACGAGCTGCAATGTTTGGGGAAATACCTCGAATGCTGCGTAGTTGTGACGCGTCCTCAGTGTAGCTCACAAAATACGAGCGATCTCCGACACGTGAGAGCTCGAAGCTGTGTCAAAATACCACCAACCGCTAAAGTTTTCATCGACAGGTACTTGATCATTAACTTCCAGAAGCTTCTCATCTACTCCTGTTCCCTGAGTATCGTACAGAGTCTCGTGCTCATGATGAGCCTCAGCCGTTATCAATCCCGCCACTATCCCTTGATCTGCAGGTTCATGCAGTATCTGTGACAGTCCATTGCCTTCTTGGCTGAGTGTCAGATTTCCTTGTGGTTTCTGCTTGGGTTCACTGTTACTCCCAGCACCACTCTTGTTTTCTTGACCGATCGTCAAGTTTCCCTGCGGTTTTCGCTTGGTTTCTCTGTCTCCAGCACCGCTGTTCTTCTCTTCACGTTCCGGACACTTGGCCTTAATATGGCTATCACTCCCGCAGACAAAGCACAGCCTGGCTTTTCGCTGTTTACTTGACTTGTTCTGCTGATTACCATTTCCGCCTTTTTCCGGATCACCACTTTTATCACCTCCGCCTTTATGCCCTCCTTGCTTTCCTTGACGCTTGCCCCTGAATTCCTTCTGTCGAGCAGCGGCTGCAAGAATTAATTCACGAGCCCGTACCGGTGTATACACACTTGGGTCCGGCAAACTTTCCAACAACATATCCACCATTGTACTATCTTCAATAGTATGCTGTAAGCCTACCAACTCCGATTTGATGCTGAACATCTTGCAAAGATGGAGATTTGCATCTCCTCCAGAAGCGAGCTTCTTATCCCAGAGATCATTCTCCAAGCGACGAATCGTGTAGGCCTTGATAGCTTCATTCTGCTTTCCTTCACAGATTACAGAGCGCTGCCCACATTTCCGATCCGGTCTCCTTGTCGCGAATCTGCTGAAGAATTTCCGGCGGAACAGACGTACCAATCATCCGCATGATCTTGATTTGCTTCTTATTGAGCCTCTCCTGGACCTCTGCACCTGCTGTGGAGAGCATGTCCTTGGTTAAAGTTCCATCCGCAATGTCCTTCAAGTCATCCTCCTTGAAGACGTTCATCATGGCCCATTTGTATGTCTGCCAATCCTTGCCTTGCCAATTCTTCGGCACCCCTTCGCTGGTGTACTTCATCGGCTTACTCATGCCTGCGCTGCCACCACTTGGGCTCATAACCCTGTTGGGAGTTGTGGCTCTTAGACACGCCCCGCGAAGTAACAAACAAGCTCCTTGTTTGCAAAGGGAAAATATGAAGACTGAATTACTTTGTGTCAGTTGCTCTGCTTCCTGAGCATTGACCAACACTCACGGGCCTTTGCCCTCTCTCATATAACGATCTGGTTTCTTTGCTGTTCCAGCTTTCTTCAATCTGCGCCAGGCCTCGATGCACAATCCAACACACATGTGACCCAAAGTACGACTCGACTGTGGCTTCAGACGACAACTCGCTTGTGTCCAGCAGCGCACAGACCGATAACGGCGCAAACGTAGAGTTTACGTTGAGTACTGCAATGTTGGCCCTGGTATTGACTCTTGCAATGCAGCTTTAGACTACCGGTAGCCAGAAGATTGTTGAATTGGTGTTAAGATTTGCCGTGTTTACGTCCATCAAAGCAACACGACGATACTCGTAGTGTGAGGCTCACACTCTGTCATTGAGCATTTCTCTCGACGTCCAGAGATGCCCCCGACGCAAAGCGAAGAGCTGCCGTTGCCGTTGACGGCTGAGGGTGCAGCTGGGTGCGATGACGCTCTGCTGCCGCTGTCTCCTTTGGATGCAATGATGCACAAACTGGGAGTTATGCTGTTGTATATGTTCCCTTCGTCGACGTCTGGTTATGATCTCAATAAGCTGCAAACCTCCTTCATCACTCTTGTAAACGAAGACTGTTCCATTCTCATCGGTGAGCTACACATCGACCGTCAGACTGGTGTCGTGAGCGTCAAGCAAACCGCTGAAGCAAGACAGAAAGGAGCTCACGGTATCCGCTTTGAGACGAATCTCAGCAGCTCATTGACGACAGAAGAAGCGATTAAGACGCTTTCGTGGGAGTTAATGCCGACTCCAAGAGCTTCGACGGGTCTTATCTGTATTAAAGGAACGCTCTTGTCAGATGGAGGGCTCGTTATTGGATTGGATACCAGCCTCACACTACTCGACGGAGAGGGAACCTTCACCTTCATGAAGGCGTGGGGTCAGCATTACAGTGATGTACCGAAACAGGAGCGTTTAGTGAGCAATTACGATCGCATTTTACTTAAAGGAACGGGTGAGCCATCGAAATTGGCTCATCCAGAGTTCCAAGTCGTCGACGTGCACCCAACTGTCGCTGGTAATGTAGAAGCGCCGGTACCACCGTGTACCGCTCAGCATCGCTTCCATTTTACTCCGTGTATGATGCAGAGGTTCAAACGTAGCAACTCGTGGCGAGTCTAAATCGACGTCGGATCCAACGTATGTGAGCACTATTGACGCCATCACGGGGCTATTTACGGCTCTAATATCTCAAGCGCGTCAAGGATGTAAAGGTGACGACGGCGGTGAATGCGCGTAGTCGGCTTAACCCACCAATGCCGAAAAAAAACGCTGGAAACGTCATTTTCAGTGCGTTGTCGTCGTACCAGGCTCAGGAATTAAAGGCTAGCGACGATGTGGTATCTCAAGATACATTAGTGAATCTGGCTCAACGTGTGCGTGGATCTATTAGTCAGAGTGACAGCGAGTATCTGCGTGATGCTATCAACTTCCTTACTGAGCGGAGCAATTTGTCGAAGGTGCAACCGGCAACGAATTTTGTCTTTGGACCGGACATTATGTACACGTCGTGGGCGCGTACAGGCATGTACGAGGCAGAGTTTGAGGGGATGCGTCCATCACTCGTCTCCCTCCCACCTCTCCCGTTCGACGGCTTTGTGATTCTCAGCGAACCACCCAGAAACAGTCCTGGAGTGGACGTGTTGGTGTTCTTAGAGAGCAGCGCAATGGAAAAGCTGAAAGAAAGTTTCGCTCAAGTCCCGTTTCTTTTCCAAGAGAGCGACGAACCACTACGCTCCACATTGTAACTTGCGCAATCGTTCTCAGAGTTTGACGGTGAGGATGTAGACGTCAACAAGTAAAACATGCCGCGTAGTTCTGGAATATACGTGTAGATCTGAAAAGACAAGTCTGGAACTCTTCATCAGCTCCAAAACTAACAAACAAGGAATTTCACTGCGTGGAACACTGTGGCTGATCGCTATTTTCGGCCAGCGATGGTTGTAGCCGGAAAATTATGAACGGTGTTAAGATACTGATGGTCGCGTTCGAATGAAAGCTGATCAAAACAGGATTGGACACGTTTCGCTGGTCACACTGAGCAAGTGGGTTGTAGGCTTCCCAGTTATTGTTGCTGTTTTTCTGAAATAAAGACTAAAGAGGGTTTTCGGGCTAATTTCGATGCCACACCCCAAAACGTTTGGCCAATCATTTAATTTACACCAGTGTTTTGTCCAATTGAAAATCTAAATGTGGACCCCTTACTAGGGCGAAGCGAAGGCTGGGATAGTTTAAAAAAAAACGAAAATGTATTGTTTTCTTACTTTCTTTTTTAAAAAAAATGCAAAATTGTCGTGTACGAAACGCTAAGTTTAAAGCCCGGAAAGAGGTGAGAACGTATGGGATGGCGCCAAACCACCGTACCAATTACGGAGTAGGTCGGCGCGATCGATCGCAGGTTCGTGTAGAATTTCCGATGCAGGACCAACTGAAACATACCGGAGTTTGTTGTACGTAGAAAGCGTAGCATTTCTCACAACGACGACGCTGCCTTGTAAAATGTCTCCATTGGTGAGGTGACCCACGTCGTACAAACTATTTGGTACCCGGAATCATCAACAAGGAGTAGCTCTCGCTTATCAGTCGTCTTCCCCTTCCGCGTTACAATACGCTTCACCGAGCCCAACCGATACACAATAGCAATAGTTGTTGTTACAGACCCGTCCTCAACTGCCGCAAGGTTGGCAATTGTAACGGTAGGTATTTGCGGGCATCCAACAAAGGAGTTTGGGCCAGGTGAATATCCGCATTGGATCCGAAGGATATCTCAACGCAATTCTTCGCCGAAAACGCAGGTTTTATCCGGCCGCCGGAGAAGAAGCAACTGTTTCCAGGAACAATGACGTCACCATAACTTGTAATTGCCTCGTTGAACAGGGTAACCCGGTAAACGATCTTGGGTGAGTCGGCAACGAAAACTTCAAGCAATGTACCATTATTTTGCCAGGTTTTCCATTCACGCACGGGATTTCTTGCTATCACACGCGCGATAAACGCCCACGGAGAAGGTGTGCTGGGCTTTAAGTCCTGAAGAGAAAAAATGCCCGCAGATTCAACACCAGTCTGCGCGCTGCTGACTGAAGTTTGGGGGGTATTATCGGCAAAATCACAAACGGCACCATCTTGTTCAGATACCAAGCAGACTCCCAGTCGCGCGTCCACGATTATTTGAGGGCAAGAGCCCTTGACAGTGGGCGACATCTTTTGGTTATTCTCCGTCACTTGCGAAGCTGTCCCGAGTCCGGAATTTGGAGGAGATTGTTTCGAAGCTGTGGTAGAGATCATCGCGAGGCCTGGATCACGGACCGATCCTACTACAAGCTTGGGCTTGAGCGTTTTCCGATCACAACGGGGTAGACCGACTGCCGTTTTCACTTCTGCCGTTCCCACTGCGACTTCACTAACCGCGGCACGAGAAGTCTTACTTGGAGGAGTCACCATAGCTGGATCACGGACTGCTGTAGGTAGCTTGGTCTCGAGAGTTTCTCGATCACATGGACGAGGCGTCACCATAGCTGTGCAGACAAGCGAAAATTGTCGAATAACAACAGGGGCTGGCGAGCAAATTGTGCGGATGGACAAAATATGTCAGAAAAAAGTGGAGAGGTGCTTTGAATGAAAGAAGAGAAACGATTCGACTGAGTGTAGACGATTACCGATTGATGGGTTCAAGTAGACTACACAGTTTCAGTAACTTTAATACCAGCAAGTTACTGAAAGGGAAAAATCTAATTTAACTAGCTTCGAGAGGTTTGGCCATTGTTAACCGCTTAGTTTTTTTTTGTCATGTAAATACAAAACAGAAACTAGCAATGAATTTCGAATTACATGCAAGCATAGGCGCTGTAGTTAGTCGTTATCGAGAGGATGTAATCAGGCGCTTAGCTGAAATTCAGCAAGAAGAATTGCACTGGACCATCTGTTACGCGTTGCGTGTTGAAGCACCACTTGTAAATCTGCGAGCTCTGGATAGTGGACGGCAATCCATTTAGCAGTGTACAGATCTCCTCTTGCTACACATATACGAAAAGCCGCGTCTGAAACACGCTCCGGCCTGCTTTCGTAAAACAATTCCAGCATAGCAAGATTGCCCTGTGTGGCAGCAGCGTCTAAGCCGCGAAAAGTACCCCCCTCGCGTCGAGCGTGGTGAAGCCATTTAACAACGTCCAATCTCCCGCGACTAGCAGCATTATCCATAGCGTCTGTTGAGCATCCCGGTAATTTAGGTCTCCCACCTAGCCATCGAAGAAGAGCAAGATGACCGCTTCCTGCTGCATTGTTTATTGCAGCGGACGTAAATCCAGCATCTTGGTTTGCAACCAACCATCGGTTGCATTTCTACTACTACTACTACTACTACTTCTACTACTACTACAGCTTACGGCCTCCGTCGTCCGAGCTCAGCAGTACAGCGTGCTGCTGCTGCAGATGCCGCCGCATGTCAGGGCGCCAGGGTAAAGCTGAAGACCTCGAAGCTCAAGCTGTGCCGCACCTGGTCTAGTCCGTTCCTTGTTCTCGGTCAAATCGAACACTTACCCGGTAAACCGGACACTTACCGGCTTCAGTCTATCGGCTTCAGTTACCGGCTTCAGTTACCGCGACGAATTAATCCGATTTGGGCTGGCTAGCCTTCCAGACTATCCCAGTAAAAATGAGGTTATGATTTAAATAAGACTGTGTGCTCCACCCAAGGAGGATGGCTAGTATACCATTTAGAAAGCGAAGACGTGTGGAAGCTCCATGTAGCTGGTAGCAACACATTTAACCACCAGCAATCCCGCTCAATATTTGATCGACTCGTCCTCGAACAAGCAGGACAAGCCATTTGTCGTCAAGATGAGCCTCAGAGAATTATCCTATTGCTCGATACGATCAATTCACGAGCCTCCAGCATGCTCAGAAAAGACTCAGAAGATAAGGCAGACGACAGCGACTGCCGTAATCTCAGTGCACTAGCCTCATTCTTCAGGATACAGTGGAGAAAACCGAAGCTAGCAGCATTCACAGCAGCCAAGAAACGGGCTGCAATGGACCAAAATGAAACATATATATTCGACAATACAAACAGGATGACCCATCGAAGTGCATTCGAAGAGTATCTTCAGCGAACGGGGGAACAAATTCAACAAAAGGCAAACCCTCAGCCAAACAGAAAGACAGACTCCATTGAGAACCGTTTAATAGCGTGTCATAGTAAGGCATCTATAGGATAAAAGCATATCCAAATAGAAGGCCGTTTGAACACAAAAAAAAATAAGGCTGTGTGCTCCTATTTTAACTTTTCTAGCAATCGCGCTTTTCTTTTCTTGATTTTTGGGTTTTGCTCTGTTGCATGCGTGCAGGGGTTAACCCTTCTAATACGACCATTACGGATTATCCGGAATGTAATTTCAAAGATGAAATTGTTCCGCATTGTCCGCAACAGATTTGCAGCACTGAAAATCCGCATATTGATATTTGTATCGGATAAATTTTAGCAGGCCAACTGTAGCAGCTCCGACCGATGAGACATGAAATATTTAGAAAGTGGTTAGGGTTGCAGATATAAGAAACTGGGGGCGCTCGCCAGCCTTTCATTTCGAGATCTGCGCCCGAGAAGAGACCATCACTCCTGTTTCGAGAATATGTACGCCTACGCTACCGAGAAAACGTTCGCCCATATGTGGAACGAGCTTACCAAGAAAGGCTGGAAGTTTCGAAAGTCGTTGGGGCTGAGCGACGATCGGAGGTATCTGCCGCCGGGTGGGAGTCTCAAAGGAACGGAAGGCGTTGACTATTTCCTCGGTACGTTACTTATGAACACTGTTTCATGCTGCTTTACTATCTAACCCCTTTTGGAATAGGTGACAAGAGTCTAATGAACTATTGCCGAAGGCAAGGGTGGCTATCCTTTGACCCTTTACCAAACCCAACGCCGTCCACCGCGTCACCAGTTGCTTTGACGTTGTCTGGTGCTGCACAGACCCCCAATCCACACACGACGTGTGAAAGTGAGCTTTCAGCCGCAGCGAAAGATGCGCCACGACAGCCGAGGCCTGCAGCAAAGGCTAACCCTCGTGACAACACGTCCAGGGCGCATGCAGTTGAACGAACACCACAAACGGACAGCCAACACGAGTCTTCAGCGTCGAGCCAAGCTTCTAAACAACGTCGCGCTGGTAAATATATCAGTTGGCCTCTGCTTGAG